GTTATGGACCAATGACTGTACCTTTACTGTTGACTGATCCTGCTCTATTACCTTCCCTAATAAGTTATAAACTCCCATACTTGTGAGTTTTGTCTATGAGTTGTGTGTGGCTAACACAACTAACTTTTGAGCCCAGCCCAGAAGTAGTACGTTGTGGGACTAGTTGGTGTGTGAGTAGGGTCAAGAAGAATGGAGGGTAGCGGAATGTCTGCCCCTTCCCTGTGGCAATAGGGAAGCCAGGAGGTCAGCTATGGCCCTCACACCCTTCACGGCAGAGAAACAGCACGAACTAGATCGCAGACATGTATTAGCGTGGGTGAAGAGAGGTTAGACACAACATGACCAAGGCAAAGGAAGACACTGGGAGGGACGCAAGAGTAAGAGGCAACAACTGTAAATACGATTACATGCACAAACCTGTAGTAACAGTAACGACAAACAATAATTTAAAAGTGGCTACATAGGTAGATATGCTGAGCAGGTATGGGATGGCATATGAGAGTATATCTACAAATATTCATAGCTTTAGCAGAGGCCATTTCTACAGACATATTTCTATGTGCTGCAAATACATTCAAATATATAACAACAGGGGTCAAAGGTATACAAACTTTCTAGACATAACTAAGCACCCCGAGAGCCTAAGTCACTGGATTCAAGTGCTTAGGATCATCATCTTGGGAGACATCTAGGCCAACTGGGATAACGCAGTCCATCAAGACAATGTTCTACATCCTACTTTGTCGACGAACGACTGATTAGAGTCCTGGTGGCATAGAGGTTACGTGTTGGGCTCACAACCACCAGCTGCTCCAAGGGAGAAAGACGAGGTTTTCTACTCCTATAGAGTTACAATCTCTGGAACCCACAAGGACAGTTCTATCCTATCCTATAGAGTCACTATGAATCGGAAAGTGAGCTTTAACATCTACAAAACAACCATCGGTCACTTCCCATGCAGAGCAAAGGGTGAAGAAAGTCAAAGAATAAGGAAACCATCCAAAGGACCAATGGACCACACTTACCACTGACTCCAACAGTCTGAAACCGGAGCTACATGGTGCCCCACTATCACTATCAACCACGCTAAACAGGACCACAGTAGAATGTCCTGGACAGAGTGGAGAAAATATAGGGCACAATTAAAAGTCATAAAAAAGACCAAAGTGGCTGCTGATAAAAACTGGTAGAACCCCTGAGATGATGGTCCTTGGTCACCCTTCGAACCTAGAACTGAATCCACTCCCTTGGCTCACCTTTCAGTCCAATCACAGGCCTACAAGTGAAGAGTAACAGCCCGGAGGATGGTGCTTCTCAGAACAATCCACGACATACGAATGGGAGGGAGGCATCAGCATCAGCATCAAAGCTCAGAAGGCAAGAAGGGGCAGGGAAGATGGGTGGACACAAACAGGGGAGTCAGAGAGGAAGCAGAAAGAGCGCTAGCACATGCAGGGGTCTATAAGTAATGTCACAAAATGTGTATAAGTTGTTGATTGGGAAATTAATTGGCCCTCAAATAAAATGTTAAAAAAAAAAAGACAGCACGTCTATGTCTTTGAGGCAGTAAGGTACAGTACCCACAATATTGGGATTGGAATTCAGGTGCTAGGCACTATGCGAGTCCCATAGTTTTCTTACTCTCAGGGTTCAAGGGTCCAGTGCCCAGCTCTGACTTGTTAATGCCCAGGGATAACCTTGACTTCAGGGTCCATATGAAAGTAGATTCGGGCCTGAAGTCCACGTTCCCCTCAATTCAGTCATACCTAGCAGTGGCCCAAGTCTGCTGGATGGCCTCCTGAGGAGGCTCAAGGGCCTATGTGTGTATGTGTTGTCATAGTTACGACCCATCCTTCACAAGTGTGATGTCACTTCCTTTGGCCCTGGCATTGGGGAAGAGGGGGTGTAAGAGTGGACAATCTGGAGGAGAAAACAAGGGACCGACAGTTCCGGGGGGCCATGGGAGAGGGGGAGGTGTGGGGAAAGGAAG